TAAAGATCTCCCCAAAGGGCCCCCTCCAGCCCCCCTCCTCCTCTCCCCACACCCCGGTGCCCCCCAATAACCCCCCACAGCTGCTGGCTGGAGCACAAGAGCTGTTTTACTTCTCCAATAGCCTCAGCCGGACTCAACACCAGCGAGGAGGACCCCAATGATGGGGGAGCAGAGCACAAGGATGGGGTGCAGAGCCCCAGGATGGGTGGGCAGACACCCCTGGTAGGAGGGCAGAGCCCACTGATGGGGTACAGACCCCAGTGATGGAGGGGTAGACCCCAATGATGGAGGGGCAGACCCCAATGATGGGTGGGCACACACCCCTGGTAGGAGAGCAGACCCCAGTGATGGAGGGCCAGACCCCAATGATGGGGGAACAACCCCAGTGATGGGGTGCAGACCCCAATGATGGGTGGGTGGACACCCCTGGTAGGAGGGCAGAGCCCAGTGATGGGGTACAGACCCCAGTGATGGAGGGGTAGACCCCAATGGTGGGGAACCCACCCCAGTGATGGCGTACAGACCCCAGTGATGGGGTACAGACCCCAATGATGGGGGAACCAACCCCAGTGATGGAGTGCAGACCCCAATGATGGGTGGGTGGACACCCCTGGTAGGAGGGCAGACCCCAGTGATGCGGTACAGACCCCATGGAGGGGCAGACCCCAATGATGGGGGACCGACCCCAATGATGGTGGACCAACCCCAATGATGGGGGACCAACCCCAGTGATGGGGTACAGACCCCAGTGATGGAGGAGCAGACCCCAGTGGTGGAGGGGCAGACCCCAATGATGGGGGAACCAACCCCAGTGATGGGGTGCAGACCCCAATGATGGGTGGGCGGACACCCCTGGTAGGAGGGCAGAGCCCAGTGATGGGATACAGACCCCAGTGATGGGGAACCAGCCCCAGTGATGGAGTACAGACCCCAGTGATGGAGGGGTAGACCCCAATGATGGGGGCACCAACCCCAGTGATGGGGTACAGACCCCAGTGATGGATTGGTAGACCCCAGTGATGGAGCGGTAGACCCCAATGATGGGGAACCAACCCCAGTGCTGGGATACAGACCCCAGTGATGGCGGGGTAGACCCCAATGATGGGGAACCAACCCCAGTGCTGGGGTTCAGCCCCCAGTGATGGGATACAGACCCCAGTGATGGGGAACCAGCCCCAGTGATGGAGTACAGACCCCAGTGATGGAGGGGTAGACCCCAATGATGGGGAACCAACCCCAGTGATGGGGTACAGACCCCAGTGATGGATTGGTAGACCCCAGTGATGGAGCGGTAGACCCCAATGATGGGGCAACAACCCCCGTGCTGGGATACAGACCCCAGTGATGGAGGGGTAGACCCCAATGATGGGGAACCAACCCCAGTGCTGGGGTTCAGACCCCAGTGATGGGATACAGACCCCAACGATGGAGGAGCAGACCCCAACGATGGGGGCACAGACCCAACTGATGGGGGACAAACCCTAATAATGAGGGGACAACCCCCCCACCAAACCCCTCCCCACATGGATGCGGGTGGGAACTCGGGGCGCAGTACCCAGTTGTCCTTCTCCCTCAGCATCCAGCTGGTCCACCACACCACCATCCACGGTGACACGGAGGAGCTGAGGCACATGGCCGCCAGCCGGGATGTCCCACGACCCCTTTCCACCCTTCCCATGTTCAACATCCGTACGGGTCAACGCATCAACCCCATGCCCGGTCCCTCGGATGGTGCCCGCGTCCCCCTCCTCCCGCAGTGAACCGGGGTGGTGGGTGACACTGGGATGATGCTGGTGGGTGGGACAATCCCAGAGATGGAGAAAAGGGTGTCAGGATGGTTTTGGGGACACTTTGCAGGGGACAAAAGCCCGGCAGCGGGCTATTGCCTGGAGCATTTTTTTGGGGGGGTTACCAAAACTTGAGGGGGGTCATCATCATCCCTATGCATCAGTGGGGCAATACAGATGTTTTTGGGGTTGATAAAGTGGTGGTTTAGCCATGAGACGTGGCTTTTCTGCTTTATTTTTGGCCCTTTGCGAGCAGCCCAGCCTGGTTTTGGTGGCTGCGGTGGTCTGGCGGG